GTAATGTTGAGGAACAAACAATAACTTTTAGGAACATATTTTGCTGCCACTACTTTAACATACAAATATGATAGCATTTCTATTTTTAGGCAACCTCTCCAATGGTAATATCTCTATTACGAAGCAGAATACATTTTATTTATTTTACATTTTCATCACTGATAGAGGTGTTAATGTGTCTAAACCTCACAACATCTTCAATGTTTTTTTATTTATTTATGTTTTATTATTTATTTTTTTTAATGCTTTACTGTATTTAACTATGTTTAAATGTCACATAAATGCCATTATGTTTAAATGTCATATAAACTCTCTAATCCGACATTCATCACACAAAAAATCCCCAAATACTCCGAAATATGTCCAGCTGATTCATTCGGCAAACACAAAATAAGATATAAGACCTATTAAATATTAGATATTAATAAGACCTATTAAATTTGATTCAGGGATCATTTTTCACCATCTCGCGGTCCACCGGTTCGGAACCATTGATCTCTGTTGTAATCCACTTATTTAATAAATTGATTGCAACTTTAAATCAGCTTTAAAGTCGCGGTCCTTTCTCTTCTAAAATATGCAGAACAATTATTCTTGCAAAGATATTTCTTTTAGTAGATTTAATCGTAACTACTTCAAAGTGATACTCAAGTAACATCAAAGCAAAGACTAATCTTGTTTAACTACGATATACATATAACTACTTCTAATGTTCCATTATTAAACAACACTACGAATGAGTTATCAAATTTATTATGTTAATAGTACTTCAATGGCTCAATGGATCGAAGCAACTGCGCAAATTCGCGCTTATGTATATTAAAAGTTTTGCAGCATTATGCATAATAAAACTGATTAAGTACCCAATCAGCGCTTTATTAGATGACTTAATACTGGTAAAACGTATTAATTATCCACCAAAGGATGCTGGATTAACACGTTGACAGTATAAGTAACTACAAATGCTAACGCGACACTCAATGATGACTTAATGTAGTTGCGTAGTAAAACTTAAGCAATAGCAGCAACAACGGAAGTTGCTTTTACAAATCACAAACCAAACTGTGCAGCAACAACATTAAACGGCAACTCTAACGCTGCTTTTCGCCACTAAAAAGCGCAATAACAAATAAGCTTATCCTTAATCAATTGACAATTAAGTTTAACTTTCTCATGGACGTCCATAGATAGAGACAATAGCGTGGCAATATCTATGTATAATAAATTGAACATTAACAGCAGCAGCAGCAGCGGCAGTAACAGCAGCAGTCGCGGCATTAGATACAGAAGTCAACAAAGTAGCCAATAGATGCGTGCCACATGCACATCAACGCATTGGCTACTAAATTGCATTTTATGATTTTGGGTTTAATAGCAGTGAGCACATCTGAAATTCATGTTGCGTTTTATGACCTACCGCAGTGTTAGCCACATTGACACACAGCCAAACCGCGTCGAGTATATAAATAAGGCAGGCCAGGACTGGCGTATGCAACAAATGTAACTTACTTTGCGGCTTTGCTTGTGGTACATAAATTTGGCTAACATAATATATAAACTCAATTTATTCTCAATATATTGCAAAATAAAAATACTTTTAATTTTCTATTAATTTAATATGTATTAGGAAAATTTTTTAAAATTCCAGAAACTTTTTGCTACTGAAAGTATTAATTTTATTAAATTCCTTTTACATTTCTAGTACTTCTTTCTACTCAGTAGTAATTGTGCTGCTTTGGTTGCTTCAGCTTAAATTGATATTTATTTTATATTCATAAGCACATAGCAACGTTTGTTGCATATGAGAATGTTGCAAATGTTTTAATATTTCACAGTAAATTCAATTAAAACTTTTGTTCTATTGTGCAAAAATATGTATGAAATACAATTTTGGATGCATCAAAAAGTGGGCGACTGCAAAGCCAAGTGATGCAGTAAAGGATGAGTTATGGTGCCTTGGAAAAGTTTTATATCAAACAGCAAAAACGTTGCAAAATCGTGTTTGTTAAATGTTGCATGAATATATTAAAATAGTTATACGTGATACAAAAATTTCACATAAAATGTAAAAATTGTTCATGAACTATTAAAAAATAATAATTTTACAGATTTAATAAACTTTTTTATTTGTTTGTAATTTTATCTACATACTAACTAAACTGGGAATTTAATTACTCACAATTAAATGAAATATAAATGTAAAAATATTTTAAAATAAATTTATTAATATTAGTGATATTAAGTCTAATAAATAAATATGCTAACTACGTGAAGTGAATTATTTTAATTTTTGTTACATTAATTATATTTTACATATCGCATGAATATATAATTTTGCTTTCTCAGTTTTTCAACAAATTTATTTTCTACAAATCTATTTTCTATTTATGATATTATCTACATTTTCACAATGAAAAGGTATGGAGACAAATTTATTTTCTACAAATCTATTTTCTATTTATCATATTATCTACATTTTCACAATGAAAAGGTATGGAGATATATAGAGATCCACTTCAGGACGCACAGGAAGATATGCTGATCTGGTCAGCAGTTAAATAAATGATAATAATTCTAGTATAGTTAAAGCTTAGTATAGGGCAGGGATAAGCCCCCTAGAGCAAAAGTGCGCAGTAGAACTAACTCAAACCACAACAACAACAACACAACATAACAATATAGATAGAAAATCACCTTTCACAAGAAAAATTTTGATATATAGACGTTCTTATAAAAGGACATATTTCTTAATCGTGCAATGTTGGGATCAGTCTTCACATTTTAAACAAAAAGTAAAATGTAAATTCAGTTCTCTAGACCAGACTGAATTGTTAGCCCCATCGGTGACCGGATATGAGAGATTTGATTGTATAGAGTTAACTAAACTGAAATTAATAAAAATTCAAATAAAAAGCCATGCTGCGTAAATCTGAACTGATTGATATATATTTAGTTTAATTGATATAGAATATGAAATTATACTCAATTTTATCTTATTAAAGAATACAATAATAGTTAAAATCCGACATAGGGCTCTTAAAAGCATATCGTGATTTTTTTTAAATTTAGAAATATATTTATCGTTTATTATTGATATTTTGACACCATAATTTTTATAACAGTCTTTCAATCTAAAAAAAACCAAAATAGGTAAAACTACATATTGTATTCTAATATATATTACTATAATACATTATTTATTATCGACCTGTAGAAGAGCAATCCGTCACGAAAGATATTTAGCATTAAACAGAAATACCTAGCAATTCTATGTAAATAGCTTTATAATAATAATATTATTTATTATGAAATAATAATTCAGGTAAAAAATTAATCAATTGTCAACCCTACTCAAAACCTATAAATATCAATCCCTTGTTCCTTATAAACATTTTTACTCCAATAAAAACAAACTAAAGATGGCTTTTTTATTGATGACATATACACACAGGTAAAAACATATTTCCTTATGTCCTTGATAATCATAAATTGTCATGTATGGTCTCAATAGGAATTCATGCGTGACCCTATTGAAAATGTTTGTAAATTGACCTGCTAGAATTAGGACTATTTTTGTTAACCACTCCATTATATATAAGAACTGACCCTTATAAGGATGTTATTAGTCAAATCGTGTATTGTAACTAAATCCAGTTAGATAAAAATATTAAAACAGAACGATCGAACTATTTATAATTAACATCATGGATATCGATAACTCGCAAATAACTCTGAACAAAACATTGAACTTGGGTCATGCCTTATATTTACATCGTTTAGAACTAATTCGTCGAAATTCGCACTTTATACGCTTATCTACGATGAAAATTGCCGTAACCGATGCTCTCATTAATAGAACAAAAGAAAATGTTGAGATCTGCAATACTGAAGATCTCGAAATTTTGGACCATGCAGAAATTTTTAAAAAGAAGTTAACAGCGGAAGTCATACAAAAAATGGATGCACTTAAGAGAGTACAGGATATTATATTTAAGCAAAAATGTAAGGATATTAGGAAGTTGAAGAAGAAAGAAAAGAAGGATTCTATAAAAGGAAGAACGAAAAAAGAACGTTTAGAGGTGGATCGTGCATCTGATTGATATTCTGAAAGGCTGTAATACATTAGACAAGCTTGTTTAGAGCTTTAAAATAGAGACTAACTTTAAATTATTTTAAAATTGTATATACAAAATAGTTAATTAAAACTATTGCTTATTTATTTGTAAAGATAATGCTATCTATAAAAATTGACGAGTTTCTTTCGAATTTCAATGTAAAAATTTTTAAAACTTAAAATATTCTTAAATATTTATAATAAAATTAAAAATAAAAATTAAGATAAAATTTTTTATTTTTTTCAAAAACATTCACCACTATCATTTTTTTATATATGTTTCGAAAAAAAACAACATTTCGAATGATGTTTTTAAGGATATTCTACAAAATTCGTATTTTGTTGAAATGAACACCAAGTAAATCTAAATAAAATTCTGTCTATAAGTAAAAGCTCTAGAAATTTAAGTAAAAGCTATGAACGTCTGTAACGAGAAAGACGATTCCATATAATTAAGTTAAGGATCACCGAAGTTGTGACTGAAAGCAACAGTCTGTCTTAAACAAGAGACTGTCCACATAAATCATAGCTATGAAGTGCATTCATTTCTGAATAGTTCGGTTCAACAATTTCATTCATATCTGACCCATTGTTTTAATTAGAAAGTAGTTTACCTCGTCTCCGCGCTAACAGTTCCAAGCATAATGGTTCACTTCGTTGTATTGTTAAATTGAGAAGTTCCGGTTTAAAAATAATTTCTTGAGATTTCATTGCAATAATGTAAATGGCTTTGATTTAAAGTTCAAAATATACGTCATTTTTACCCATTATTTAAATTCATTTTTTATCTTAATTATTTTTTTTTAATAATCAAAATAAGCTGGAATATATTAATCAGTTAAATACAACAAAATTTAAAATAATTCAAAAAAAATGTAGATAACAGCTACATAATTTAAATTTTTTTAATACTCGTTCAAGTTTGATCTTCAATTCCACCATGTTTAAGAAAGAAGATTATACATCACAATACGGATCGAAAGAATTTTGGAATGAAATATATACTAAAGAGTTGGAAATCTTTACTGATTCTGATGTAACACCTAAAAAGGATGGTGTACAGAAATATATTATCAACTGGCTGTTACACCAATATAAAAATAACCGAGATATTCATATAATTGATCTTGGTTGTGGTGCTGGCGCATTCTTATTTGATTTGGCGATTAATGGATTTGGTACATTAATTGGTATTGATTATTCACGAAATGCAGTTGCGTTAACAAACTCTGTTATTCAAAAGAAAAGTTATGATATGTATTGCATTGAGTTGGACTTAACAAATGTGATGGAATGCAAAAGGCTTGGTATATTCGATATCGTTCACGATAAAGGAACATTTGATGACATTTCTCAAAGAACAGAAAACACTAAAGAAATGCAACGTATGTATTTGAAGACGGTACGTAATCTCATGAGTAAAGAAAGCATTTTCATTATAACATCTTTTTGTTGGACTGAGGATGAACTAGTGCAATTATTATCCAAACAATTTGTTAAGGATTGTAAAATTCCAATAACAGGAAAGTTTTCTAAGGATATTAATAAACTAGTTACAATACTGGTTTTTAGGGTGAAGTAAGACATGTTAATGAAGAATTTTATTGAAGAAATTTTTATTTTGAGAAGAATATTTAATTGCACTTCTAACAGCATAAAATAATCCATTAGAAAACTATTTTTAACTTGTATTTTATAAAAATGAATTGTTTAAATATATAATTGCAATATTTATGAAATATTATGCAAATATTCGGTATACACTGCAAAAATATAAAGGCTGGAAAAATAAATGATATGATGGCAAAAAAGACTATAAGGAACTAAACTTCCTTTTGCATAATGACATTCTTGATATGCTTTAGTTGTTATTTTGCACAAACTAATGTATTATTTAACTTAGTAGATTGAAAATACCTTATTCTAGATTTACAGCTATTGAAGCAAGCCATTTTTTTTTTGTCCATGGAAGTTTTGTTTCGAGTTCTAACAAATAACTAAATCTATAACGATCTGAGGTCCCACATTCATAAATATGTATTACAACGTTAATGCAAGTTCACAATCTAAATAAAAAGTAAGGGAAAACTACCTTATTTTATTGAGGACAGAATTCTTACAAACTCTAAGCCTAATAAAATGTTATGGGACCAAAATTCCGCAAAGCAACCGCGATGGTAAAAACTGCTATCATTTTTTAAACAGAGGTCTTACAGCTTAAAGCTGCGAGAGAATGCCTACGTAGGGGCACCCGAAATAGTTAATTGTTAACGTTCTATTTGTTAAGTCGGTAACTTCATAACTGCACAAAAACAATTTGTGTACAAAAATTTTCATCACCTTATCGAGTCATAGAGTTATCGTCCACTTTTAAACACCCCGTACTACTTGACTTTTAAAAATTTTGAAAAAACGCTTTACAAATAATGCAAATGCATAAAAATTTTATTGTTTTAATTTATATTATATATTTATATTTAAAAAAGTTCATGTTATGTTTCATAACCAGAAAATCATTTCTCTCACGCTTTACTGGGTAATATTTGTGCGTAATTAGCGTAGTTTATAAATCGAGCTTACTATTTTACATACATTATAAAAATCGTTTCCGAGGTTTTATATAATATATAATAATATCAATGGAAAAAAAATACTTTATACTTTATGTTGTATAAAAAAAGCAAACAATTTATGCACATTAAAATCGCGCATTATTTGTAAATGAAATGTTTTAAAAGCTTTTTTTTGTTGTTATAATTTTCAAAGGGTTTTCAGTTTACATTCAGTTTCAAGCTACAATTCACAGTTTCGGGCCACAAACCCATAGACCGTCCGCGCTTAGGCATAAATTTAACAGTGAATGCATTTTCTAGTATTTACGTTTTTGAAAAGTTATGCAATGAACGCAATTTGCGCATGCGCTACTTTAAATAGACAATAAAACGCTTAATAACAAATTAGTAATATTGTTCGGTTGAGGGTACGAAATAAAAACTAATTTCCACACAAAGATATGCTAATGAAGCTAATTTGCCTTAGTACTTAAGTTTATAAAGCGAAATAAACATTTTAAAATAGAAAATAAAAATTTGGTGAATTTTTCTTTGAGAAAAATATCTGCAGAAGTATTTTTATTTGAGACCGCCGTAACTTGGTTAACAATCTTGAAATTAAAAATGCCACTTGCAATAGATTTTTTTTTATTGAGTGCTTAAAAGCATAACGGAAAAACTATTAATCATGCAAGCGGTAACAACTGCAGACCAGCAACAATAACAACAACATTTATCTAAATTGTATAAAAGCAAAGCAACGGAAGAGCGACCGACCGGCAGACCATTAACTTTAACAAATTAACATCAACACATGGAGAACAGATTCAATATTGGCTGCTGTTACTATTTCTGGTATTGTTACTGTTGCTGGTACTGGTGTTGCTGCTGCTGCTGCTGCTACTGCTGCTCTGGCGGATGTGCAACATTTCTACACCACAACATTTCTGCAACAGATTTTATGCATTGCAAACACATTGGCCATGGTCAGCGCTGTGTGGCTTTTTTAAAATACCAGAGTTCGTGCTCGTAGCACAAATAAGAAACTTAGAAATTAGTACGGAAAATTTCGTTGGTCATGGAGATTGACAAGTGAACACTAAATTTAACTAAAATAATTACTAAATTTTCTGAAAATCTACTATGTATTATAAGCAAAATTAAAGTATAAAATTTAAATTAAGTATAAGATTTAAATTAAGTACAACATTTAAATTATACACAGAATAAAACCATGACATGGTATTGCAGTAACTAATTTCTTAAGTAAATTGGATTAAAATGAGTTTAGTATTAGTTTAATATATTGTTATTATTATGTAAGTAATAAATTCCGCATATAAGGTGATCTAATGTCTTAACCTTAGTTATATTAACCGATCTTTAATCCTTTAGTGAACGTAAGAACCTTGAATGGTTTTGGTTATATGGTGTCCAATATAGACGAGTCTGCTGCTGGTTAGTTTTAGGCACTTGCAGATATTGGTTTCTGAGCACCCAATTTTGTTAAGATTGTATATCAACCTACAAGTATCCAGACAGAAAACCATTGAAACTTTCTATAACTTCCATGTTTAAAGCAATAAATCTTTTTAAGCCTATTAACTACCAACTTAATCTTAAAAGGTTAATCTTAATTAATCTTTAAGCCATCAAAGATAAGTTATTGCTTGTGTTATATATTTAGACATTTTTATTCTTATAATTCTAAATACAATGTCATACACAAGTATTAGTTTTATATATTCGTGTGCATTTGTTTTCCCTTAGAACGAATAGATTTCAAATGAAATGAATGTTTACAATCAAATCCAAGTGCGAGATGTGTGTAAAAAATCAGTAACAAATAAAACTAACACAATTAATTACAATGGGATCAAGTAGTTGTAAGCTACTTCACTTTTCGAAGATAATGTAGCCAATCTTGTGATGAAAAAAGAACGAGAATTTTAATTTTTTAATTCCCGCGCTTTTCCAATCGGCAAATTCTTTTTATTTTCACGCTGGCAACATTATTAGACACATTCTGTCAAAGTTTAACGCATATCGTACGATTCATTTTTGTTTGGCATCTATACAAAGAAGTCGAAAAATTTTCGTGTGGCGATTTTTTAGCTGAATTTCATTCAAAAAAAGCGTCGTTGTGATGTGGCCAATGAGATGATTTCCAACGCACATAGTGACCCCACATTCATCGAGCGCGTCATAACTAGAGATGAGACAGGGGTCTATGAATTTGACATGCTCACCAAACAACAATCGACCGAATGGTGCTTCGAAGGTGAGCCGAAACCGAAAAGAAAACGCCAAAGTCGGTCCAAAATCAAGGATATGCTGACTGTTTTCTTCGATATTTGTGGTGTGGTGCACGATGAATTCTTTTCTGCCGTTATGCGTCGTTTGCGTGAGGCCATTCGCAAAAAGAGGCTAGATTTATGGAAGGAAAACTCGTGAATTTTACACCACGATAACGCACCGGCTCACACAGCGTTGGTTGTGTCGCAGTTTTTGGCCAAAAACTCCACCAATATCATCAACCAAGCACCGTACTCTCCAGATATGGCCCCGTGTGACTTTGTTCTCTTCCCCTGACTCAAATTGCCATTGCGAGGAACACGTTTTGAGACCATAGGGGCCATAAATGAGAATTAGCTGCGTGAACTAAACGCCATACCTTCGGCAGCCTATAAAACTTGTATGGAAAATTGGATCAAGCGTTGGCATGCATGTATTGCCGTAGGAGGAAAGTACTTTCAAGGCGATAATAAAGAAAATTATTAAAAATTAAATCTTTGCGTTTTTTTTTATCATTATAAACGTGCAAACAATCATCACTTTAAATAAGAGTTATGACTAGTCACCACTTTAAATAAAGATACTGACTGATCGCAAATGGTTTCGAATTGGGTTATATTAAGAATGTAAAAAAACATTATATATTTGTAGAATATGTGGTTAAAAATGTAAACGGTTTTAAATTAGGGTAAATTTAGGATATGTAGTTTCAAAAGCAATCGTATCTATGTTGGTATATGACGGTAAAACATAATTGATTATAATAGAGCAAAATGTCTACATAAATTTTTTACATAATTTTCTAGAATAAATAAGTTTCATAATAAAAATATCACAATACATAAGAATACCTGTACTAAACTGGGTACATATTAATGGCAAAGTGAGGAAGTTTCCTTCGCTATACTATATATAAATTTCGCGAAACAAAAGTCAAATAATAGCACAAAAAAACGAAATAATAGAAAAATGCTAACTAATATTATTAGAAAATCGATAAGCAAAATAAATAAATAATTTCACTAACAATTTTTATTAGTATGATTTTCACGACCTCTATTAAACGTAAGAATTTGATAAAAATTTCTAATAATAGTAATATCTAAATTTAATTTATAAGTGAGAATAAGAATATTTTATGAATGTGCTAATTTATAATGTAAACACGTTTATCAATCATTAATAGATTAAACAATTTTTAATTTAATTTAATATCTTAAAATATGCATTCAACATAAATAATAATATAAGCAAGATTAAAAACTAGCACACTATTGATTTGCCTTAAAGATATCGATAAGATTGAATATTCCTTCAAGTAAATCTGGTCATAACTTTGAGAAAAAATTGTTCGATAACCATTTTACTTCCGTTTATTGTATGCACAACGTTAGTTAACTTCAAGACTTCAACCTGAAGCGCTTTATAAGTTTCGTTAAAAGATTTAAGTTATGACTTTAAGACATAAGTTCTCTACAGTAATGCGATGAGCCACTTGGGCTAAGTGGAGCACCATTAAAACTGAATAGTAACTTGTTAATAACTAAGTAATAATAAGTTAATAAATCTTAAAATAAATTTTATTTAGTAATAATTATAACTAAATGTATTAAGGGATAGATATGTAGAGAAGTTTAAAAACCATAAAAAGAATAAAATTGGTTTAACCATAAAAATGAAATTTTTACTTTAAATATTTTCACCAATTTGAATTTTATTGGCCACTGCCACACTTGAGTAATTTTTAAGGATTAATTTTGGTGCATTCATTTTGAATGTATGCTACATTCGATGAATTTTGTTTGGTGTGTGTGTAT